ATAGTTAACTCTCTTTTCTGGCTGCTACACATCTCTTTGCAAATTAGTAACGAGAATTTGGTGCTAGATCAAGACAACAACTTCTACCTGATAAGTTTGAATATTCTCATCACCTGTTTGCTGGATACTTCATGCACTAAAGTAGATAATTAAAAAGAGTAACAATTATTAAGTATAGAGTTCTTCAGGGTACCTTTTGCGAAATATTCTAAGAGAATTTGAATTAGTTATACTTGTAGGTAAGGAATTCCAAAGGTGAGGCCCAGTGAATTTTAGGGACCATAGGCCATATTGAGTAGTATTAACTGAGGCTACATAAAGATTTCTGTTACATGATTGCCTCGTTGAGTAGGAATGAACAGAAGAAGTAAATTTGAAATATCTATTGAAACAAGGGGGTAACAGTCTATGTGACCACTGATATACGAAAGAGAGAATCTGTAATTCAATAACATCATGGAGCTTAAGAAGATTGAGGGATTTAAATAGAGGCTCAGAATGGGATTTTGGTTCAGAGAAAGATATTATTCTGATTGCTTTTTTTTGGATAATAAATAATTGTGTTAGAAACGAGGGAAAGGTTAAACCCCAGACATGGACGCCATAAGTGAGGAATGGATAGATAAGGGAGTAATAAAGCATGACAAGAATATCTTTGTTGACAAAGGGCTCATCAAAATACAGCACAACTCGTAAAAATACTCAGCGATACTACACAACAAAACATCTAATAAGATATATTTATTTTAATTTTGGTGATCAAATTTAAGAACGATCTTTAAACCTGACGAATTGTTCATCTGCCGTGTTTTGCACAGGCAATGGCTCCAGTTGCAGCAGTCCTTCTAATGCACATGACAGCTGAGGTGAGCCAGTAAAGTCAGACAACTCTGGACCTAGGTACTCTCAATAAAAAAAGGTTAAAGTCAGCATTTGGGGAGGCAAGAGGCATATGTGGAGGAGCTTATTCCAGTTTCTGGAACTAAAAAAATTACAACTCCCTCGTGTTGAATCTGGGATACTCCTTGTCAGTTTTAAGTCAGTTCTCTTTGGTGTGGCCAGATTTCACTTACCAGACCTGATATCAAATGTGGATTCAGGTTCTTGATCTAATTAATGCTCCAGTGTTAATTTCTTCTGGGTTCTTTGGTTTTCATTCCTCTTCAAAAATAGACCCTCCAAATCCCACTGAGTTCTTTCATTCATTTGCATTATGCGGATAATTAAACAAAACTAGGTCTCTACGGTCCAGGTTAAGGAGCTGGCAGGATATTTGTGTTGTGTTGCTGTCCAAAACACTTTGCTTCTAAAGTGCCTTCCTCCATCCTGAGGAGCATAAATGGGTACTGGCAAATCGTTAGGAATGCCTGTTAATATGCCGGGGTGGGGGGGGGGGTAACTTTATGATGGGAATGGTATCCCATCCAGGAGGGAGTAGTAATACTCCTAGTTGCTTCATGCTGTGGAAACTGGGGGTGAGCTTTGGCTGGATGAGCCATTTGGCTCAAGTACAGACTTTACCTGCTTACCTTGCCCACCAGTTTCCTTTTGTTGACATTTTAATGGGTGAAACTCTTTCTCTCCTTTTTTTACAGGAAGCCTTCTGGTGTTTGGTTATGATTTGTGAAAGATACATTCCTGGATACTACAAGCCCAAATTAGTAAGTCAAAACAATTTCCTAAAAATATCACTGATAGAATCTGGTGTTATAGGCTTCTAGACAAGAGGGAAGAGGGCAGTGCAAGTGCTCTGGAGAAAAGTTAAGCTAAACCAATGCAATCTGGGATTGCTTTCAACACTTAGTTGAAATTTCTCTAATAAAATCTTTTTATTATGAATATAATGAATATAGCTGGCAGTGCCATGGACAATATGAAGCAAATCTTGACTTCCCCTTGGGAATTGCCTGCTTTGATATCAAAAGTGCATGTAGCAGACCGACAAAGTTCGTATTTTGTGGACAATTTTGGTGATGAAGTTGCAAAAAGCAGTAGAAGACAGTCAAAATAAAGAAAACTTAAACGACCCTCATGGGGTTATTGTGCTACAAACACAGTTGGCTTTCTTTCTCTGCTCTCAAAATAAACAAGTCATTCTTGATTCTTATTTAAGCCAAGTACTTTTGCTATACGTAGAAGAAGTGACTTGGAATAACATTTGACGATAAAAACTTGCGACAAAATGTTGCTTGATAACATTGTAAAATTTTAAAACGATAAAAAGCTATAGAAAGCTAATTAAAAATGGATGACGTTTCGACGTTAACATAACGTCATTATCAAGTCAAAAATGTATAAAAATAAGTTCTATAAATACTAAAAACAAACAATAAGAGAAAATAATTTTGCGGGTTAAACAAAAAGTTTAGCACATATGGAGTCCGTTTGCACGTTCAGATTAGGTTTGAATTTCTTAATATAAAGCATTTCAAACACTAAAGAATCAAATTTGCTTTGACACTTTCTGATAATCTTAAAATGACTATCATTCAAACAATCCCTCCTACCATGCGCTTCATGGAAACTTTTGCTATGTACTATAAATCCTTTATTGACCAATGTTCAGTCAAGATGGCTGGATATTAGCCTTGTTCTTTTTTGCATTTTTATGGACCTCAACTTTGTCTCAGTCCCTAAAAACACAAGAAAAGAATTTGGCTATCTTGACCTCACACATGGTCAATAATGCATTTTATAACAATTACTTTTCATTGAAATGTAGGAGGCTGTCCAATTGGATGGGGCTATCTTTGGTGGTCTGCTAGAAAAATGTGCACCTCATATTGCTAAACACATGGTAAGTATGTTATGCTGTTATATTACTAACCATTTGTCACATTCAGTTTGTTTGAACAGGAATGAATTGAGTACGCCAGAAATATTGTTGTTAAAAGGAAAGAACTCCTCACCTTTGGATGCAGCCTCTTCAAAGTTCTACAACACAATTTAAAGCTGTTAATGGCAGGAACATCTTAAAAGAAAAGAAAAGCCAAACAGAAGTGTAAAGCCACAGAAGAAACTGTTTGTTTTATTTAATATATTTTCTACTCATTGAAAAATTCTAACTTCTAGTTTTTCATTTCTTATCTTTCAGAAAATGCACCACATAGACCCTTTGATGTACATGACAGAATGGTTTATGTGTCTCTTGGCTAGGTGAGAACTTATTATATGGAAATATTTTTTTAACCCATCAACACCCAAGATCTAATAGTTAACTCTCTTTTCTGGCTGCTACACATCTCTTTGCAAATTAGTAACGAGAATTTGGTGCTAGATCAAGACAACAACTTCTACCTGATAAGTTTGAATATTCTCATCACCTGTTTGCTGGATACTTCATGCACTAAAGTAGATAATTAAAAAGAGTAACAATTATTAAGTATAGAGTTCTTCAGGGTACCTTTTGCGAAATATTCTAAGAGAATTTGAATTAGTTATACTTGAAGGTAAGGAATTCCAAAGGTGAGGCCCAGTGAATTTTAGGGACCCTAGGCCATATTGAGTAGTATTAACTGAGGCTACATAAAGATTTCTGTTACATGATTGCCTCGTTGAGTAGGAATGAACAGAAGAAGTAAATTTGAAATATCTATTGAAACAAGGGGGTAACAGTCTATGTGACCACTGATATACGAAAGAGAGAATCTGTAATTCAATAACATCATGGAGCTTAAGAAGATTGAGGGATTTAAATAGAGGCTCAGAATGGGATTTTGGTTCAGAGAAAGATATTATTCTGATTGCTTTTTTTTGGATAATAAATAATTGTGTTAGAAACGAGGGAAAGGTTAAACCCCAGACATGGACGCCATAAGTGAGGAATGGATAGATAAGGGAGTAATAAAGCATGACAAGAATATCTTTGTTGACAAAGTGTCTCACTTTAGACAAGATACCTACAGTTTTGGATAGTTTCAAACAAAGCTCATTAATATGACTTTTCCATGTTAAGTTAGAATCAAATGTTATGCCAAGGTACTTAGTGGAGTCAACTTGTTTAACAAGTACATCATCAATTTTGATTCTTAATGACTAATTAGGTTTAAGTTTACTGGAATGAAAAAGAATAAAGTTAGTTTTAGAAATACTAAGTGCTAATTGATTACATTTCATCCATAATAATGGATGGATATAGCAGGGAGAAGTTAAATGTCAATCATGTCTTGGAATGAAAGAGTAAATAGGTTTGTTAAATATACATTTTATTAATGTTCTAGGAACCTCCCATTTGCCACTGTACTGCGAGTATGGGACATGTTTTTTTGTGAAGGTTTGTTCTGTGGATTTAAGAGTTATATTTGATTGATTGAGAAGTAGTTGGTCTACAGTTTGAAAAATCCTCTTACAAAGGAAAAGAATAGAGTTCAAACTCCATAGAAAAATATGTACTGAACTTGTTAAATTAAACACAACATTTGGCTTGAATTAAAATTCTAAGACTTCTTAAGTTCCCAAACAAAGGGGTAACAAATTTGCATGAAAGAAAGCTGAAAAAAAAAAAACAACTAAACACAACTCGGTAACAAAGTAAGAAAAGTAGGCAAAAGTGTCCAAGTCAGTTTTCACTGTCATGGTAAGACTTCTTTAATGTTATTGGCTAATTTTTTAAATCATGCATGAAGACAAAAAGAATATCAAAGTGGGAGAGGAAGAGAAAAATTTTAATTTGAAATTGAAAAACAGTTAGAGAGATTTTCTATGCATGGGTCAGATTGATTAAATTATGGTGGGGAGGCCATGGGGAATTTGTCTTGCACATGTCCTTGTTGTCTTGTTTTGCTCATTAATGTGGAGGTGGGCTATATATCATTGCTGGGATACAGAGTACTTTTGATGCAAAACTGTATGAATAGATTAAATGAATTTGATGGAAACTCTCTGCTTCATTGAAATTTTGATTTGAATATGAAGTTGTCTTTTCTGAGTCACAGTATTTTTCATTAGTTTGTAGGGTAGTCAGTTTTAACTTAAGCCAATACAAGTGACCATATTGGACCGGCCAGACCAATACTCATGGTCTTAAAATAAGTGAGGAGAATTTTCTACCTTTCTATAATCAAGAAATGGATAGATATT